AAGAAACGTAGATTTCTTTTTGGGCCATATTAAAGTACATAGGCGGCTGTCCTTTTTTGTAGAGAGAGATTAAGAGAGATTTGAGAGTTTGTTTGAGGGTTTTTAGTTGTGTGATTATAAACCCTAGTTATATTCTCTCCCTCTAATAGTAGATCTCCCCCTCCTTGCCCGTGGACGTAGGCAGTTTGTCGAACCACGTAAAATTAGTTTGTTTGTGTTTGTGACCATTGTAATAGTTTTTTAGGATCACTCGACAAGTCAGTCCTAGAACTGATGAGAGGAATAGCCGATATCTCACTTTGTTGAGATATTCGTTTCAGATTCTTATCTCCTTGGTGAGACGGGAATTCTTATTGATCTTTCTCTCTTATTGTGCACCAGAAACTCTGCCGAAATTTCCGCTGCGTACAACAAGTGGTATCAGAGTCTAGGTTCTAGATCTAGGGTTTTTTCTTGGTTGGAGGAGTAAATCAATTTGGAGGTTCGTCTAGGACTTTGTTTGGTGATAAAGGTGGGATCTTTTGGTAAAGACTCTATCTTTTTAGTTTTGGATCTATTCTTCGTTCGTTGGTACGTTGATAAAGATGTCGGGGAAAGAAGGTGCTTCGGGTGTCGAGGATGGTGCTTCTGGCGTAAAGACCGAGTTTGAATATCCACTCTATGAAGATAGATGTGGAGAAATTTAATGGCACAAATAATTTTGGATTATGGAGATGTGAGGTTTTGGATGCGCTGAACGCGCAGAATTTGGAGGATACCTTGGAGTTAGATGGCAAGCCAGATGACATTGAAGAGAAGGTTTAGAATAAGATGAATCAAACGGCATGTGGTGTGATTAGATATTGTTTGACTCAAGATCTAAAATATGATGTGATGAATGAGACTTCTGCAAAGAAGATTTGGGAGATTCTCGAAAGCAAGTATCTGACAAAGAGTGTTGAGAACCGTTTGCATTTGAAGAGGAGACTTTATCGTTTCCAGTTGAAGAAGGAAACCTCAATTAGAGATCACATGAACACCTACACAAAGCTTCTTATGGATTTGGCGAATGTGGATGTCATGATTAAAGATGAGGACAATACGTTGCTGTTGTTGAGTTCCTTGCCTGACGAGGAATATGAGACATTCGTCTTTACTCTGATTAATAGGAAGGCATCTCTTTCGTATAGTGAGGTCACTGCTGTACTGGTGAATTGTCAGCTTCGGAAGAAGGATAAGGAGACTTTGACTGAGTCGGTAGCAGAGGCGTTGGCTGTAAGAGGGAAGGATCCAAATCAAAAGAATTGGAAGTCACAGTCTAGAGTAGGACATCCTACAATTGGAAAAGATCAGTGTGCTTGGTGCAAGGAGACTGGTCATTGGAAGAAAGACAGCCTAAAGCTCGACGAATGGATGAAGAATAAGCAGAAGGGAAAAGGGAAGCAACCATCATCAGAAGCAAACATCGTATCGGATGATAATATTTCTGACTCTTCTATTTATTCGCTTTCTATCAGTCCTACATGGAGCTATTCGGAGGAATTCGAGTGGATGTTGGATAGTGGTGCGACCTATCATGTGTGTCCTAGAAGGGAATGGTTCTCCAGTTTTGAGAAGTTGGATAGTGGTGTGGTGTACATGGCTGATAACCGTGCATGCCAGATCCTTGGGATAGGAAAAATTTGCATCAAAATATTTGACGGGACTGTTAGGGAGTTTAATGATGTGAGATATATTCCTTCTTTGAGAAAGAACTTGATCTCGATTGGAGCTTTGGTTGGAGAGGGTCTGAATGTTCGAATTGAGGACATGATTCTCAATATTGTGGAAGACACTCGGGTTATGATGAAGGGCGTCAAGAGGAATAACATGTATTACTTGACTGGAGGTATAGTGGCAGGTGGAGAACTGGTAACTTCTATTGATTCGACTAGACTGCGACATTTAGGGCTTGGTCATTCCAGTATTGATTCCTCGTATAAATTGAAAGAGGGTGCGAAGACATGCAGTTTGAAGTCCAGTGAACATGTTCATGTGAGCAAAAAGACCGATGAGAAGTTTGGCATCTCTATTCACCGTGCTAAGGGTCGTTCTGGAGGAGTTCATATAGATGTTTAGGGGCCTTCCAAGGGGGCATCATTGGGAGGTAATAGAAGTTTGGTTTCCTTTGTTGGTGACTGTTCTAGGCATGTTTGGATTGCAACCAAATCCCCTATGGATAAAGTCCTAGTAGTCTCTAACAGTTTGAAGAAGTGTAAGATGGACAGAAAGGTGAAGGTACTTCATTCTGATTTTGATGGGAGGCACAAGATTGACATGTTTCTGTATTGGAGCCGAGCTCATGGTATTTTGAGACACTTCGTTGGAAAGGAAATCTTGGGGTAACCAGATAGGGTGGCAAATTTGGAGAACCGTGCCTTGCTGGAGGAGGATCGGTGTTTGTGGTCAAGCAATAGTTTGCACAAGAGGTTCTGGACTGAGGCTTCGATATATTTGAGTCATCCTATTAAAGAGTTGTCAACTGCTGTGATTGGAGGTAAAACTCTATTGGAAGATAGGTCTGATTGTGTCACTTTGGATGAGACTTCGATGATGGAGCCAATTGACTCTCAGCAGGTGGAGAGTTTTGGACAGACCTTAGTTGTATCGCAGCAGGTGAAGATTAATGCTACTTTACATTAGGTGGAGATTACTCCACATACTCCAGATTATACTGCATTATTTGGGATTCCAGCTGATGTGACACAGTTAAGGGATCAATTTTTTTTGGATGCAGATGATGAGTTAGGTTTTGATTCGAATGCAGCTGATAGATGTAATTTGGATATGGTCATTGGTTCACCTCAGGTGGAGGTGTTTGAGGCCATTGGAGGTGTTAACAGCCGCAGAGTTGATGATATTGGAGAAAGGTTGCGAATACTTCTATTGGACTAAGGTCGTTCGTGGCCATTTGGGTGAACTACGTGAGACTTGATTCCTTAGGCAAGAGGATACGTAGATAGTCTTTATGATGTAGTCGGGTTGGATTTTGATGGGGGTTAGATTGATTGGTGAGTAGATACCTACGTTTTGGGAGAGTATTCGTACTCCCGTTTAGGTCTTGACTTATTATGGATTGAGTCCGTTATCGTGAATCGTTTCACTTCATACTGGACGCAACAAGTGGGATATTTGTTTGGTTGGTGTCGGCTCGGTTTTGGGAGAATCTTCACTGATGTGGAGAATTGTGAAGGGACAGTGTGTGGGGTCCACCCACCCACGTGAAGAGCTAAAGGGTTATGAAGAGCCGAGTCCAAGTCCAGCGGACAAATCATAAGGCCCACCCGATAACTTGCACTATATATATCTCTTCAACCATGACTTAGGGTTTTGTGCAAAAGGGGTTTCGTACAGAGGTGCTGCAGAGAATAAGGAGAAGTCAGCTGAGTTTTTTTTTTCTTTGTTGGCAGTTGTGCAAGTGCTTAGGGCTTCGTTCATAGTGCAAAGGACAGAGGTTTGGGTGGCTGTGCAAAAGAGAGGCTTCCTGCAGCAGGAAAAGAAAAAGAAACACATATTTCTTTTTGGGCCGTATTAAAGTACATAAGCGGCTATCCTTTTTTGTAGAGAGAGATTAAGAGAGATTTGAGAGTTTGTTTGAGGGTTTTTAGTTGTGTGATTATAAACCCTAGTTGTATTCTCTCCCTCTAATAATAGATCTCCCCCTCCTTGCCCCGTGGACGTAGGCAGTTTGCCGAACCACGTAAAATTAGTTTGTTTGTATTTGTGGCCATTGTAATAATTTTTTAGGATCCCTCGACAAGTCAGTCCTAGAACTAATGAGAGGAAGAACCGATATCTTACTTTGTTGAGATATTCACTTCAGATTCTTGTCTCCTTGGTGAGATGGGAATTCTTATTGATCTTTCTCTCTTATTGTGCACCAGAAACTCTGTCGAAATTTCCACTGCGCACAACATCTCATCATATAAGACTCTTTCTCATCCTTGTGGAAAATGAAAGAAATATTTTCTCATCACATACAAAGCCTAAAATATTAATTTTTTGGCATTCAACCGTTAAAATAAGTGAGTGAACTTTTCAAAGCATCACCCTTTATATTTACAATGCACATAGAAAATCGACAAAGTCAATTATAATCTCTCTTGCGTGCATACGACACAAAGAAAATATAGGCTTCGTTCATATTGCTTGTTCTTGATCTTTAGTCATACCAAATTAATGCACCGCTATATTCACACGCCTATGTCGGCACATAGTCCTAAGATATTTCAAGATTATAAGTAAAGAATGTTGGGGGATTTTAGTCTTCCCGTGTACTATGATCTTCGCAACTCGGAAGCCAACCCACAATCAATAAGATTTATGTGGTTTGGTCGACCAACTTCGACCTACATCCATGGGGCAACAATACGAGAAATCCACTATGTATCAAAGAGAACTACAAGAGGATTCACTCAACTCTCGTCTCTCAATCTCTCAACCTCATATACATAATCAACACTCATATTCTCTCCAAAATCCACTCCTTACAATCTTTTGAACGTACATAGACTACGAAACCCTCTCCAAATATCGTAATCTTTTGCATGGACAAAGACTACGAAACCTTGCCTTCTCGCACAATATTCTTGAGTCATGCTACGCCCTCTGCTAACCCTAGATTACAAGAATATTGGCTATCTCTCCTCTCCTTGATTTTTCCTCTCTCTCTCTCTCTATATATATATATATATAGATATATAGATATATAGGGAAGCGCTGGCCAGCGCTCCCCCCGTGCGCTGCTTGGGTTTTTTCGAAAAAAAACACCGCGATTTCACACGCCGCCCAACTTCCCAAAAAAGCTTGCTCTCATAAATGTCTCCGATTTTCTCTCTCAACAAAAGAACAACAAGCCAACTCAGATCCGGCAACTTCCCTTGCCTCCCTCTCTCGATCTCTCACACCGGCCGGCTCGAGCATGATCTCGATCTCTCACGCCGCTCGAGGGATCTCTCAATTTACATTGAAACAAACCCTGATGTAATAAATAAATAAATAATGGTTTAAGTGGGATAACTGAACTTCTTTCAATTGGAGGAAATTGATGCAGAAGAGGAACTTGTGAATTGCAGGAAATTGATGCAGAAGAGGAAATGAATGTTCCAAACATGTGGGTTTCTCAAATGATACAGAGCTAACTTTGCCAAGAGAAATTGAGGCTGTTTATAAGCAGACTCCTTCAGCTGACAATGAGTCATTAGAAAAAGATGATGTCCTTATTCATAATCAAACACATGAAGCAAGAGGTCAGTAACTTGTGAAGCTCTCTTATCTTTTTTCTTTGAACTAACTAGAATTTTATTTGCCTAGTTCAGGTTTTAGGTGAAGTAAAGCGTACCTTCAGCCATATTACACAAATTAATTATCTATACTCTAGTCTACGTAGGCATAGAGATTAAGTTACAAAAAAAAAGATGAAACAATAACAGACAGATGAGATACTGATGCAGAAATATATGTCCATGTATCAGTCTTTGTGCAAATTTTTGATTGTGTGTATGATCACCTATCATATATTCGAAAGCAGCCTGTGATGAATACCCTAATCACTACTTTTTATCTTCTTCTAAAATCATAATTTGATGATTTCAGTGGAAGAAGAGGCAAATATTTTGGCTCAAGAATCAACAGAGGAAGCCGATGAGTTTGTAGATAGTATAGTAGAGAGGCAGAATCAAAGTCTTCCAGCAAACATCAACCAAGAAAACAAGATAGATGATTTACCAGTTGAAGACAGCAACTCAATAGGAGACATGGTACCGGTGATTAATAGTATCCAAGTAATTGAAGATCATAATGACCAAGATAGAGAACGAAAAAGAGTTAGAAGCAGGCCAATCGGTTGCTTATTTAGATGCTGTTGACTCGGAAATTGAGAAATTAATGATGGAAGACTTTGCAAATGGAGCGAAAGAAGCTTCTAAGACCGAATCAAACAAACTATTAGAAGAACTAAAGATGGATGATGTTGACACAGATAGTTTTGAAATACAACTTAATGCCCTTGAGCCTAATGAAGAAGAAAAGGATGATGGAAACGATGCGAGACTCGAAGAGGCAGTATTTGAGATATCTCTTCAAACTGATTACACTTCAAATTTGATGCCTGAAAATTTGAGTAAGAATATAGAGGTAGAGACAGCGCCGGTGATGGAATCTGCAAAAGTATCAGATATTTCTGCCGCAGATAACGAAAGTGAAGAGGCAACCGAATATGCAGAACTTGGTGATCAGAAGAAAGAACGAATTTTCCAAACTGAGAAAGCCAGAGGAGAGTGAA